CCTGGGTGTTAGTGGACTGTTGTGGGTCACATCCTGGGTGTTAGTGGACTGGTGTGGGTCATCCTGGGACACTGACCTAATGTGCCAGAAATACTCATCATAACAAGGTGCTTCCTATATCGTAATATATCATTAGTGTCAGCTATGGTCTGTATACCTTGACTGGAAACGAGTATCTAGTTCGCTGAACTCGTCTGGATACAACTAAGTACCCCACTGTGTCGGGGAGGCTCCGTTGACTTTGCCGTACCTCAATCCAAGCGAATTAATACCAGTTTTCCGGTAACTCGCGCGTCGCGGCCGCCCTCGATGGACTCTCAGCTTCAACTGATCTCGCTGGGGTTCTTAACTGACTTCATTCGAATTTTGAACTGTCAACTCTCTAACTAATTCTACTATAGTAAACCTAATCCTACATATTTTATGTGTTAATAATTCCTACGAAATTTTACTACTTTGTGTATCTACGTAACATATTACATATTAGTAATATGTACAAGTGTTGTGTAAGTTATGTTAAGGGTTCGTAAAATTTGTTAACTATGAACGTCTCGTGGAATTAGTTCCCATAATGACCCTGATGGGTTTAGCGTTTTTTTTATTCTTTAATAATCATTGAAATATAATATGTGATTTTTGTGCGTGATTGTTGTAAACTACACTTTAAGAAATTTTTTTTAAATAATTTTTATTACACACGAATTACCAATATATATGAATCCAAGTTAAGTCATAATGAACGACTGTCACGGATTATGCACAAGAACCGTGGTCCTGGCACGAAGCTGGTCCAGTGCTGTAACACAAGAACCGTGGTCCTGGCACGAAGCTGATCCAGTGCTGTAACACAAGAACCGTGGTCCTGGCACGAAGCTGATCCAGTGCTGTAACACAAGAACCGTGGTCCTGGCACGAAGCTGGTCCAGTGCTGTAACACAAGAACCGTGGTCCTGGCACGAAGCTGGTCGAGTGCTGTAACACAAGAACTGTGGTCCTGGCACGAAGCTGGTCCAGTGCTGTAACACAAGAACCGTGGTCCTGGCACGAAGCTGATCCAGTGCTGTAACACAAGAACCGTGGTCCTGGCACGAAGCTGGTCCAGTGCTGTAACACAAGAACCGTGGTCCTGGCACGAAGCTGATCCAGTGCTGTAACACAAGAACCGTGGTCCTGGCACGAAGCTGATCCAGTGCTGTAACACAAGAACCGTGGTCCTGGCAGGAAGCTGGTCCAGTGCTGTAACACAAGAACCGTGGTCCTGGTATGAAGCTGGTCCAGTGCTGTAACACAAGAACCGTGGTCCTGGCACGAAGCTGATCCAGTGCTGTAACACAAGAACCGTGGTCCTGGCACGAAGCTGGTCCAGTGCTGTAACAAGAACCGTGGTCCTGGCACGAAGCTGGTCCAGTGCTGTAACAAGAACCGTGGTCCTGGCACGAAGCTGGTCCAGTGCTGTAACAAGAACCGTGGTCCTGGCACGAAGCTGGTCCAGTGCTGTAACAAGAACCGTGGTCCTGGCACGAAGCTGATCCAGTGCTGTAACACAAGAACCGTGGTCCTGGCACGAAGCTGGTCCAGTGCTGTAACACAAGAACCGTGGTCCTGGCACGAAGCTGGTCCAGTGCTGTAACAAGAACCGTGGTCCTGGCACGAAGCTGGTCCAGTGCTGTAACAAGAACCGTGGTCCTGGCACGAAGCTGGTCCAGTGCTGTAACAAGAACCGTGGTCCTGGCACGAAGCTGGTCCAGTGCTGTAACAAGAACCGTGGTCCTGGCACGAAGCTGGTCCAGTGCTGTAACACAAGAACCGTGGTCCTGGCACGAAGCTGATCCAGTGCTGTAACACAAGAACCGTGGTCCTGGTATGAAGCTGGTCCAGTGCTGTAACACAAGAACCGTGGTCCTGGCACGAAGCTGATCCAGTGCTGTAACACAAGAACCGTGGTCCTGGCAGGAAGCTGATCCAGTGCTGTAACACAAGAACCGTGGTCCTGGTATGAAGCTTGTCCAGTGCTGTAACACAAGAACCGTGGTCCTGGCACGAAGCTGATCCAGTGCTGTAACACAAGAACCGTGGTCCTGGCACGAAGCTGGTCCAGTGCTGTAACACAAGAACCGTGGTTCTGGTATGAAGCTGGTCCAGTGCTGTAACACAAGAACCGTGGTCCTGGTATGAAGCTGGTCCAGTGCTGTAACACAAGAACCGTGGTCCTGGTATGAAGCTGGTCCAGTGCTGTAACACAAGAACCGTGGTCCTGGTATGAAGTGGTCACAGTGCTGTAACACAAGAACCGTGGTCCTGGTATGAAGCTGGTCCAGTGCTGCAACACAAGAACCGTGGTCCTGGCACGAAGCTGGTCCAGTGCTGTAACACAAGAACCGTGGTCCTGGTATGAAGCTGGTCCAGTGCTGTAACACAAGAGCCGTGGTGCTGGTATGAAGCTGGTCCAGTGCTGTAACACAAGAACCGTGGTCCTGGCACGAAGCTAATCCAGTGCTGTAACACAAGAACCGTGGTCCTGGCACGAAGCTAATCCAGTGCTGTAACACAAGAACCGTGGTCCTGGCATAACGCTGGTCTAGTGCTGTAACACAAGAACCGTGGTCCTGGCACGAAGCTGATTCAGTGCTGTAACACAAGAACCGTGGTCCTGGTATGAAGCTGGTTCAGTGTTGTAACACAAGAACCATGGTCCTGGCATAAAGCTGGTCCAGTGCTGTAACACAAGAACCGTGGTCCTGGCACGAAGCTGGTCCAGTGCTGCAACACAAGAACCGTGGTCCTGGCACGAAGCTGGTCCAGTGCTGTAACACAAGAACCGTGGTTCTGGTATGAAGCTGGTCCAGTGCTGTAACACAAGAACCGTGGTCCTGGCACGAAGCTGATCCAGTGCTGTAACACAAGAACCATGGTCCTGGCATAAAGCTGGTCCAGTGCTGTAACAAGAACCGTGGTCCTGGCACGAAGCTGATCCAGTGCTGTAACACAAGAACCGTGGTCCTGGCATAAAGCTGCTCCAGTGCTGTAACAAGAACCGTGGTCCTGGCACGAAGCTGGTCCAGTGCTGTAACACAAGAACCGTGGTCCTGGCACGAAGCTGGTCCAGTGCTGTAACACAAGAACCGTGGTCCTGGCACGAAGCTGGTCCAGTGCTGTAACACAAGAACCGTGGTCCTGGTATGAAGCTGGTCCAGTGCTGTAACACAAGAACCGTGGTCCTGGTATGAAGCTGGTCCAGTGCTGTAATACAAGAACCGTGGTCCTGGTATGAAGCTGGTCCAGTGCTGTAACACAAGAACCGTGGTCCTGGTACGAAGCTGGTCCAGTGCTGTAATACAAGAACCGTGGTCCTGGTATGAAGCTGGTCCAGTGCTGTAATCAAGAACGTGGTCCTGGTATGAAAGCTGGTCCAGTGCTGTAATACAAGAACCGTGGTCCTGGTATGAAGCTGGTCCAGTGCTGTAATACAAGAACCGTGGTCCTGGTATGAAGCTGGTCCAGTGCTGTAATACAAGAACCGTGGTCCTGGTACGAAGCTGGTCCAGTGCTGTAACACAAGAACCGTGGTCCTGGTACGAAGCTGGTCCAGTGCTGTAACACAAGAACCGTGGTCCTGGCATGAAGCTGGTCCAGTGCTGTAACACAAGAACCGTGGTCCTGGCATGAAGCTGGTCCAGTGCTGTAACACAAGAACCGTGGTCCTGGCATGAAGCTGGTCCAGTGCTATAACATAACCGTGGTCCTGGCATAAAGCTGGTCCAGTGCTATAACATAACCGTGGTCCTGGCATGAAGCTGGTCCAGTGCTATAACATAACCGTGGTCCTGGCATAAAGCTGGTCCAGTGCTACAACATAACCGTGGTCCTGGCATGAAGCTGGTCCAGTGGTACAACATAACCGTGGTCCTGGCATGAAGCTGGTCCAGTGCTATAACATAACCGTGGTCCTGGCATGAAGCTGGTCCAGTGCTATAACATAACCGTGGTCCTGGCATGAAGCTGGTCCAGTGCTATAACATAACCGTGGTCCTGGCATGAAGCTGGTCCAGTGCTACAGCATAACCGTAGTCCTGGCATGAAGCTGGTCCAATGGTACAACATAACCGTGGTCCTGGCATGAAGCTGGTCCAGTGCTATAACATAACCGTGGTCCTGGCATGAAGCTGGTCCAGTGCTATAACAAAACCGTGGTCCTGGCATGAAGCTGGTCCAGTGCTATAACAAAACCGTGGTCCTGGCATGAAGCTGGTCCAGTGCTATAACATAACCATGGTCCTGGCATGAAGCTGGTCCAGTGCTATACATAACCGTGGTCCTGGCATGAAAGCTGGTCCAGTGCTATAACATAACCGTGGTCTGGCATGAAGCTGGTCAGTGCTATAACATAACCATGGTCCTGGCATGAAGCTGGTCCAGTGCTATAACATAACCGTGGTCTGGCATGAAGTGGTCAGTGCTATAACATAACCATGGTCCTGGCATGAAGCTGGTCCAGTGCTATAACATAACCGTGGTCCTGGCATGAAGCTGGTCCAGTGCTATAACATAACCATGGTCCTGGCATGAAGCTGGTCCAGTGCTATAACATAACCGTGGTCCTGGCATGAAGCTGGTCCAGTGCTCTACCACTGAGCTACCAGACTTAATAAGTACTAAGATTTCACAGACAAAACTTCAGTGACAAGTGAGGCACCAACAGCCACCAGCTGTGACCTTAGTGTGTCTCCCCACAGCCACAGAGTTCATGTTATATCTCTTCAAGGGGGTATGAAAACAGATTCACCCTGCAAGCTTCTGGGTCTGTGGAAGGAGACAGTAGGGCCAAAGACAGTGTCTGCTGACACAGACATGTGAAAGCATTATTACAGCGTCGTAACTTCTCGGTACAGCGTAGGACTAGCTACGTGCCAAGGCCACAGTTCGAGTCCTCCTCCAGTCTCATCCTTACTAGTATATATATGCCGTTTGTTATAAAATATACGGCTTTCTTTATTTATCAGAAGTGGTTCGTGCAGCCTGGGAGAGACGCGTCACTGTCACACAACTCATTTGGGAGGTGAGTTATTTTATAATAATAATAATAATAATAATAATAATAATAATAATAATAATAATAATAATAATAATAATAATAATAATAATAATAATAATAATATTTAAGGTGGTGTACCATGATGCTAGTTAAGGGTTCTTGATCAAAGGAATTGCAGGCACCTTATACCCTGTTGAAAGTTCTTACCTTCCCATTTCCGAGACCCCTACGGGCTTTTTGCTTCCCCTTGAATGTAATGATAAAGT